GTGGCGCTCTGTGAACTCGAATATCTTGTGTTTGAGAGCCTAGAGCATCTGTTGGCTGGATCTGGGTCGCATGCACATGGCCGTCTGTGACCTGCGGTCTCATGGTAGCAAACGGTGGAGCCTCGGAAACAGTTCCTGTGGGAAGAGATGGTGCTAATGGCACTCCGAACCTAGGCGAATCTCCCTTCACAGGATACATTTCCCCTCGAGCTTGTGCTGCTGCTTGATTCCGACGCTGTGCCTCCAGTTGATTCCGACGCTGTGTCTCTAGTTTACTTGGTCTCCCGCGTTTTCGTGGACGCTCGTTGAATGAACTATTATCAACACTGGGGGGCAACTGGTGTGGTTTCAGAATGTCCGTACTAGGGTAACGACCAGGTGGCGTAGGTTTTGGTTGGATTGCACGATGACCTGTTGGCGGTTTGTCTGTTTGCAAGGGATGAAGAGGGCGTTTTCTATCCCCAGGAGAGATCTGCAATGGAGCACTTGAGCCAAAGGGGCTCTGCCGTGGTGGGAACATGTGTGAATACTCCTGAGCCATATGGTTATATGCATTTTGACATGCCATAAGTGAACGCCCTAGACTCTCGGGTCAGTATCAGTTTCGTCTTGAACGTTTACATAAAACATGATAAAGGTTCAACGAGCACGTTGACGGTTTGCTAGTAATTGAAATGCGCAAGAATATCTGGCCACTTGGGTATGAAAACACATACCTGGTGGGAGTGGAATTTCCATGAAGGCAGGGCGGATACCGTGGTCCTGGATCATGGTGTAGAGGTAAACTGGCGGGATTTTAGCTTGTTTGAGAATCTCTGTGAGGAGTTCGACCTAGAGAGATGAATCGTCAGTTCTTTCTGCGTCATCCACCTGGACCAGATTGAAATATGGCCAACCCGGGTTCAATATAAAAAGAACTTGGAGCCATACCTTCTCGTCGTCCTTCCATATATCGGGTGGATTCGACATATCTTTGTCATGAGAGAAAACAACAGCGTAACTAACACCATGCACTGTCTGTCCTCAAGCCGAGTGTCGACTAAGGCTTTCCGTTATGTCTTTCTTTAAGTTAAAAAAACAAAATGAGATGAAAATATTGCGGAGGCGTATGATTGGCATAAACAATGCCAGGAAAATCGAGAAAAAAGTCTATGAGAATTCTCCAGCCAAGGCGCAATTGGACAGGAGGAAAACGAGAATAAAAGGCATGCAAGAGAACGAAAATAAACAAAACGGCCTCCCAAGACAAAAAGGGGAGACCAATACAAGGCTCGAAACGAATGTGCAGGCGCTGGAGGCGGGTTCGAAACGAGTGACTGAGGGGCCGTGGGTTTCGCAGGTTGAATGAAACGCGACAGAAAACAAAATGAGCGATGGTATCGTGAAGAGAAACGGCGCTCTGAACGCTCAATTGTGGACTGGAGGTCGTTACCGTCGGGGTAATCGTGATCGTGAGGGGACTTGGTTAAACTATTTCGGCATATAGATATGGGCATCCAAAGCGTGAGTGAGGATAAACGGGCGGAGAGCACCGCGCGGCTGGTACGGTCGATTCGAAAGAGATATGCTGGCCGTTGAGAATGAATATCAAATCATCAGAATGGAAGATGAGGGTGTTTTAACGAGAGTATCAACGACAGGGATTGACGGAGGAATGTCAACGCTGGGTTACGTTTGAACACACGAGGTTGGCCCAATAAAAACGCTTAAAGAGAGATTGGAAATAGAGAAAGGGAAAAAAGGGGGACGAGCGGGCAGGGAAGGAAAAGAAAAGAGAGCATAGGATGAGGTGAGGGAAGGGAAAGAAGGAGGGAGAGAAGGAAAATGGAGGTAGAGAGGGGGGGGGGGTGGAAGAGAGGAAGCGAAGCAAAGGAGTGGAAGCAGAAATGAAGCCGGTGACAGAAGAGAAATGGGAGAGATTCGAGGAGACGAGAAGATGTAACGTGAGCGGAGGTTTGGTAATTTTTTAAGCAAGGTACGGTACAACACAATACAGTTCACAAATAAAACGAAACAAAACGAATGGTATGGTATGGTATGGTATATACAGGATGTCTCCCCAATCCGCAGCAACTAACCGCCAGCTAAACAGATGTCCCTCTTACTCTTTACATAAATCCAAAAGTAAACAAACCCAGATAAGGAAAAGGGATAAAGGGGGAGCGCAACGCGGAAAGATGTTGGAGGCACAACCTTACCTCAACTAAATAACCATGGAAAAGGAAACCGGGCTAATGTGTATTATTAATTAGCAGATGGTGTCATTCAGTTTAGATGTATTGCAACCGCAGTCGTCGATAGAATTAGTTTAAAAAGCTTGATGTGTTTAAAAGTCTAGCAATTCAAGTCACGATTGGCGACCTAAAGAGGAGGAGGGGGGGGAAGATACCTTTTAAGAATGTTCCATAGTGTTGCGGAAAGGCGTGCGAGGTTGGACAGTTATGGAAAAGATAGCCTCTATCATTCGGGAAAGTGAGGGGCCGTTGTACAGTACTCAAAACAGGCCCGCTTTGCAGGGAATAGTAGGAGCAAGCGCGATAAAAGCAATATGGAAGTGTGGAAGAAGAAAGGGAAAATATAACGAGTGTTGAAGGGAGCTTGCAGGATATATTATTATTAAAACACCTCTCAGTTTTGTTTATTAGCTTTTTTAGTCCTGATATCAACGTTCTTTCCTTGGCGCGACACGGGAAGGAAGGCTTGTCGTTAGGTTGTAGTCTCAAAGATGGATGTGGCTGGTAGATTTGTTCAAAATATGTATGTAGCATGCTCGGCGGAAGATAAAAAAAGCGCCCCAGCATAGGGAATCTGATCAAGCACATGCTCTGGCTCAAGTTTCTCACATACTATGAATGGCTAGGCCTTTTGTCAGTTATTTCCCTTGGGAAGCTTCGGGTATATTGAGGCCAAAGTCGCTGATTCTCAAGCTAGTTTCGTAACTCCGACTCCGCATAATTTCTTCTTACGTGCTTGGACGGCAACGTGTTTCAAACCCTGTAGCGAACGACCGGTATTTGCCGCCGCATCAGCGTGTATGGGGGCCGTTGCATTTCCGGCTGCACAGAGCAACATGTTTTCTGTAAATCACGGGCGAATCACGGTAGACGTGGTGGGTGGAATTTGCTTCTTTACTTTTTATTCTTTCGCAGGACAGGCGCGGTTGGAGTAAGCCAGAGCGGCAGGGTTTGAGTCTGGAAGGCATGGTGTCACTGCATCGGGGGAGTAGAAATGGGGAGTTGTAACCAAGAGAGGCTCGTACTTCTAGTAGTAACTGGACTAGGGGCACCCGGAGGCAAGGAAGAATCTTGCACTAGTAATTAGTGGATGTATCATGATTCCTGAGCGTAAAAATGCAAAATACAGAGCCACGCTTATGATTGCCCTAAGCCCCGGCCCGCCCCCAATACCTCCGATCCATACAGGGTAATGTCGGAGAAATTTGGGCCATCCACTTGATTCATCTAGAAGCCCTGATCGTTGTCAATCTTGTTCACATATTCCCCTTGACTCTTTCCCTGGTGTGTGATCAATTTCAATTTCTGGGACGACGGACGGACGAGTAGATCCACATGATTATTTTTATGTTTTCTTTTTGCACGGGTCTAGGTCAGGTTGACACAGCAGAGTGCTATAAATTAGCGGACTGGGTGGAGAACCAGCGACGCAGTTAATTGGAGGGGATGGAGGAAGGGGTGGCTTCATGCAGGCAAAGGCAGGCTAGAAGACGCAGGTTTTGAGCTGCTGCTGGCTGCAGGAGAACAAAACAAAGAACCGAGGAAGGGATTGGACAGGATGGCATGTTCGCAACTGGCGAGCATCAGTATCAAAACAACAACAAAACAACGCATTAGCCATGGGCCATCAGATGCACCAACAGCAAGAGCAAGACTTTCTCGTATCGAATTTTGACGATTTCGTGGTCGGAGGGCAAATGTCTCGAGATGCAAGGAGAAAGCCAGCATGTGGATCTGACCATTGCAGCGCGCTGTATATGTCGTACATTTAACAGCACTTCATGGGTAACCACGCAATGTCAGATGGAATCCCCTTTTAGTCCTCTCAACATTCTACTTTCTTCGGTGCACAAAACACATCAATCCCCATCCCTGTCCCTGTACTATGCATGATTTGCCATTGTATCAGTAACGCGGTATCCATATCAGCCTCATCAGAACAGAATGGATTTGAGATCGGATACGTATAGCGGGAAATACACAATCCGTGCGCCATATCCCAAGCCAGCAGCTATTCAGTGCATGGAATGCAATAGACTTCAACGCGGGCCCACCACTGTTGGAAAAGAGCACAGAACGAAGACATGTAAAGGGACGCGGGGACCGAGCAGGAGCGAGGGGGTGAGGAGGCAACAGCCACGCTGCTAGATGATGGAGGAAATGGCTATATCACAAAGAATTGAAAGAAATTGCCTGCTACTAGAAGAAGTATACAAGACAACTGTTGAAATCCTCATGCAGTTGAAATCCATCAGCATTGCTGTGTGGGTGGCCAATGAAAGGAGGGCATTTAAAGAAGCGAAAATAGAATTTTGAATATGCATGAAATCCATCTGAACATCCGGCTTGCGGATTTGTGCTCAACAGCATGAACATGGAATTTGCAACTCTCTCAGCCAGTGAGGGGAGGATAGTATTGAACGTAATATATGTATGTAAAATACGGTAACGTATTCTGATACATACCCGTACGTCAATACCATACGTGATGGTTAGCAGCTTTTGATATCAAAAAACCCGCTGCCCAACCTCGACTGGCCTCATAAGCTCAATGTAGGATCTCAACGACTTCAGACACCATGTCGAGGGCTTCTCTCCGGAGCCAACAGATGAACATCACCCTCGTGGAAGGGTTTGGCCCCACTCATGCTTGGGGTTGCGCACACACCAACCGTTCATCCTCGCCTGCGCGCTACAGAATGCTTGAGGTGGCTCCGGCTTCCAGTCCACTGGCCACTAACATTGCCATTTTACCCTCTGGAGAGCCGAGGGTGTGGAAGCCGTTTCATATCCGCCGCTCTAGCTTCCCGCCCCGAAAAAAACAAAACAAATAAGTCGAGGGGCTTTTGTCGTCTTGGTTGGTCATCACGGTGATTTGACTGGTGCTGGTTAACCACCCGGCTTCTTCAGGAATCAGCCCTGTTTGTGGCCCCCTCCACGATTTCTTTGTCACGCTTCCACAGTCCAGTCATCCCCTGCCGTTGGTTTCTTAGCAACGTCGATCGCGGGCTTCTCCCGCAGCCAGTCAGGTCTGATCGCGCGCTCAAGCTCCAAGCCCATTCTTGTGAAGTTTGCCAATGGCGGGGCGAGAACTCCAGCAAATGAGTGGCGAGAAGAGATCCTCAGCCAACTTCTCAAGCCAAATTCACTGGCTACTCAAATAAGGCATCGCGTGCTCCACGCTGTGACAGGGAAGGAAGCTCATTTTTGTTTTCTCGCTCGGTCCGTCAACCTTTGAAATTGTCAGCTTCTTTTCACACAGGCGCCACCGCATTCCTTCTTATTGAGATATGATTTCACCTATTTATTTATCCCTTTATCCATCTATTTGCTACCGCTGAGCTGATACGTATGTATCGCTCCGTATGCTGACAATGGCGGGGTTCGAAATAGTGAACAATCCCAGACTCCAACCACCGCGGGCACTCGAGGTATCCAACGAGACATTCTGACGGGACAAACACACAGCACGAAATTCATTTCACTCTCCTGGAGATGTTTTATATAGGTCAACAGATACTGACTACTTGGGCGGGAGCCATTGCATAATATTTATTTATTTCTAACTGACACTGCAGTGACACCTCGCGAGGATCTCATCTTAGCTGATGGTGGGACGCACGGCCACGTTGACTCTGGTGATTTACTCAAATATCCTGTTGTCAACTCCACGCACCCCCATTTTGATGCACGAGGATACCTGGCTCTGGACGCAGCAACCTTCATTTTCTTGACAGGATTTTTCAGGCTCGCAAATCAAACTATGCGGCGAGAGACATGTCACCTTTTCAAGTCGGGATGAGTTAATGCCAGTGTGTAGCTAACCACTCTACGGTAATCACCTCCCGCCAAATCGCCGTCTTTCTATGTATGGCGTTTTGTACCCTAGGCTTTCAACCGCTCATACTATAGGGTCACCACAATTTTCTCGCACTGGTTACTTCGTCGGTTAACACCGCGGGAAACGGTCGACTTGCGTATCCTTGTCGATCGGGATATTGGGCCTATGAAGATTCTTTTATCTCCGTCTGTCTGTCTGTAGACATTTATGTCTTGGCTTGTTCCTCTTGGACCATTATTAATGGCTGCTACTAGTCAATGACTCTTATTCCTAGCACACACATTGGAATGAAAATCCCACATCGTTGATATTATTCCAGCCGCGGGAGTACCCCACACCGTCTTGCGGAAGTGGTGGCCGGTGATGAAAATGATGGATCAGGCCCCGTGGCGGACTTAGCTAGGTTTCTCTGATTCTGAGCAGTACCAGAACATCAATTTATATATTTTGACTTCTACAGCCTGTTATTGTGTTCTGAATGATGGTGATGGATGTGAGACGATATCCTTCAGACTGGAGTGAAAACCACAATTTCCGGCGATGTGTTATTGACCCGTTTGAAAATGACAGCATTGCGTGTGGTGACAGCGATGGACAATTCTTGATGTTTTTTATGCCACGATAGACTTATCTGTGTAGCGCGATAAACGAGGCAAACCGGCCACTTTTTCGGTGGGAAGAAGCGTTGTTGAGATTTTTTTTTTTTCATTGGGGGGGGGGCCTATTGTTAATTCCACGCACTGCCCGAATTTACCCACGCCGCGGACCTCATGAGAATCTGGTTCCTATAATTTCATCCTCCGCATTGGTTAACTGGCCACCACCATCATCACCTTTTGCTTTGCATTTCCTGTCTTTTCTCTTTTCTCCCATCACTGCTGATATCTCGTGGGGAGCCCAAGCCAGGTAGAACACGATAGAATTAATAATGGCATTCGCGGGTTTTTCTTAACCGCCACCAGCTTGCGTTTATTCCATGCCGCGATCAACCAATATCTTGAGGCTCACAGGCTCAATGGGAAGCGACTCTTGTCCTCTGCTTGGGGTTGATTATTCCTCCTTGCCACCGTGAAACAAAGTTATAGGCGATTTTGACACAAAAAAAAACAAAAAGAGGACCCAAAACATTCACATTTTCACCAGAGGCCCATTCAGTCAGTTCACTGGGGTGACCATCCGGAGACAGTTCGCTGTGCGAGTATCTCTGCTGCTCCTCCCGTCCACATTTTATTTCAAGCAAGAGCCGGAATTATATAGTCTAAGCAATTCTTACTGGACTTCAACGCTTGCTGAGCTGTACGCTACTTGGTGCTTGGGGGAGGATTTGCTGCGGTCGTCCGCCAGCTTTTTATGAATTTTTCCCACCCGGATCCCGCCATCGCACTAAGATTACGGGCCATCGTCGTGATCGCTTCCATCCACGCACCTCCCCCGATTTCCACCACACCACGCTCTCTCCACTTGCACCTCGCCTTCCTCGTCCTTCTCGCATCGACTGGGGAGCGCTACACAGCACCACGCCTTGCCATCAACTAAACAGCGCAGACGGTGCAGCGGTTGGATCTGTTCTATGTCTGTAGCCCAGTATCCCTTCACCTTACCAGGCTGGTCAGACACGGGGTGTTAATCTATCAACCCACCATTCGTCGAAACTCCTTGGCCGCCAAAGCAACCAAATTCACCTCTTCACCATCCCCAACTTTAACAGCCACTTCAACATCTAGGGAGCAAGCGATCGCCGTTTCTCTCTGATATTCATTAATTTTCACATCCTCGCTACTAACGCAATTTCGGCACTTAAATACTGTAAAACTAAGTCATATCCACCCCTTTGTCGTTCACTTTTCGATCATGGCTCCCCATGACGATGAGGACATCAAGGCGGAAGCAGTAGCCGAAGCTGTGACTGCCATGCAAATCAAGCACGATAATTCAACAGACAGCTCCTCAGCCGATAATATCCTAACACCAGATGCTACAAACGGCCTTGCAAATGGTTTGGCGTCTCTCTCGAAACCTAGCCCCACTAAAAGTCTTTCCAAGTCAAAATCTCAAAGCGAGGCCAGCTCTCCCAGCGAGAAAGATGAAGACGAGGAACCAAAGGAGAAAGTTCCTGGTTCCATAACCGTCAAACTAGAACCGGGTCAGCCACCAAAGCTGTCTCGTACTGCTTCGCAGAAAGTAGTTTCTCGACCAGCACAACTCTTCAACCATCTAGCAGACTGTACTGCCGAAGCTACGTCCACATTTCAACTCATAGATGACTGCACGTATGCCAGTAAATATATGGGTTATACGGAGCATGCTATGGAATGCGACTGTACAGAAGAGTGGGGTAAGCCACGGTTTTCCTTTACTTTTTCTTGATTTTATTCGTTTTTTATTTTTATTTTGCTTTTTTGCTTCACCAACATTTATTTGTGAACGGGCCAAAAAAGGACAGAACATACGCTCTTATATCCCAGTGCCTTAAGCATAATCGTGATATGTCTCGTTTTCAAATGTTACTGGAGACATATATCCGATTTTGTCCTCAGTACCTGGCTTCGTGATATTCTTAATGCTGATGTGAATTCCCAGATCCGGTGGCTGCCAAAAATGGAGCCTGCGGAGAAGACTCAGATTGCATCAATCGAGCTACGAAAATGGAATGTGTCGGAGATTGTGGATGCGGCGATGAATGCGAAAATCAACGGTTTCAACGACGACAATACGCCAACGTGACCGTCATCAAGACTGAGAAAAAAGGCTATGGCCTGCGTGCCGACTCCGATTTACGACCCAACCAGTTCATTTTCGAGTATATCGGCGAAGTCATTAACGAAGGAAACTTTCGGAAACGTATGAGAAGCTATGACGAAGAAGGGATCAAACATTTCTATTTCATGTCCCTCAGCAAGGGAGAGTTCGTCGACGCCACGAAGAAAGGCAACCTCGGGCGTTTCTGTAACCATTCATGTAATCCTAATTGTTATGTTGACAAATGGGTTGTAGGCGAGAAGCTTCGAATGGGCATTTTTGCCGAGCGGCACATCAAGGCTGGCGAGGAACTAGTTTTCAATTACAACGTCGATCGTTATGGAGCTGATCCGCAGCCCTGCTACTGCGGAGAGCCCAACTGCACAGGTTTCATCGGTGGCAAAACACAGACTGAGCGTGCAACGAAGCTCTCCAATGCCACCATTGAAGCACTCGGTATCGACGACCCGGATGGCTGGGATACTGCTATCGCAAGACGGCCGCGCAAGAAGAAGACTGGCGAAGACGATGAAGAGTATGTTGACAGTGTGCAGCCTAGGTCGTTGAGCGAAGATGGTGTCACCAAGGTCATGGCCGCTCTTATGCAGTGCAAAGAGAAATGGATCGCCGTCAAACTACTTGGCCGTATTCAACGCTGCGACGATGAGCGCGTGCGAAACCGTGTCGTGAAAATGCATGGATACAAGATTCTCAATTCCCAGCTAACTGCCTGGAAGGACGATTTCAATGTTGTACTGCAGATTCTTGATATCCTGGATAAGTTCCCGAGACTTACCAGAAACAAGATTATCGATTCGAAGATTGAGTCAACTATCCAGCCACTTACTGAGTGTGGCGATGAGCGTGTGGAAAAGAAGGCAGCGGCTCTCTTAGAGGTCTGGTCCACACTGGAAATTGGCTATCGGATTCCTCGAATGAAAAGGGACCCAGCTGCTACAAATAACACCCCAACAGTCAACCGCTTCGAACGACGAGAGTCATCTAGAAATGATACACAACCCACGACAAAATCGAGATCTCGCTCACGGTCACGATCACGTTCCATCGAAGCCCCACGTGCTCCTGCTGCCCTTCGAAACGGCATGGGTCCTCGCAATTCTTACCACCATGGTCCTCCGAGACCGTTTCGCCGGCCGCCGTTTGCCAACCCGTTACCCCAAGGCTGGTTCGCCGCGGAATCGAATGGGAAGACTTACTATTATTCTGCATCGGGTGCCACGACGTGGAAAAGGCCGACAACTCCCGCTCCACAACCCCCTCCTCCACCGAAATCCGAATCGAAGGATAAGGCATTGCAGGATATCATCGATGGTATCATGAATGCCAAAGAGAATACCCCGAAAACGCAAGATAGATCCGAGACCCCTACTACACCTACGCCTAGAGATGCGAAACCTCTCGGGAAAAAGGAACATAAGGAAAAGTGGCGATCATACAGTGAAGAAAAACAAAAGAAACTTTATGAGAATACAGTATGTACATTATGTTGATGCTTTTGCTGCGCTGTGATTAGACTGACTTTTGGTTTAAAGATCTTCCCCCACGTCAAATACGTTGTGGATAAGTTTAAACACAAACTACCAAAGGAGGACTTGAAGCGCTATGCGAAAGAGGTATGAGCTCAAAAACTCCCATCGAAAGTAAATCCAGATATGCTTGCACCTTACTGACATAATACATTGGATGTTTTAGGTCGGAAAAAAACTTGTGAACTCGGATTTCAAAAACAACCGTGTGAGCGATCCAACAAAGGTCAGCGACAAACAAGTAAGACAAATCAAGAAGTACTGTAAAGAATATTTCGACAAAGCAGTTGTGAAACAGCGAGCCTACGAAAAGAAAAAGGCTGAGAGGAAGGCAATGGAAGCCGCTAAGACGTCAGGCGATGGCTCAAAGGATGAAGCTGAGAAGCCTGGGTTGTCACAACCACAGGAGTCACAAAATATTAAGAAAGAGGATGAAAGCGAGGTCGAAGACGATATAAATATGTCAGATGATGATATAGACAGAGTGGAAGATAAGAAATCATCGCCAATGAGCGTCGACGGAAATAGCCTCAAACGGAAGAGAGATCTTGATGGAAACCTTGATGTGGATGCCGATACTAGGGGGCCTTCACCTTGCAAAAGGACGAAATCGGCCACTCCGCCTCCGCCACCTCCGCCACCTGGAGATGCAGGAATGACTCCTGGCGATGATGGTGATGTGGAAAAACATAAATGCAAGCGGGATGAGTTCGAAGATGGCGATGGATGTAATAGTGGCGCTTCCTCTCCAGGCAAGCAACAACATTCTGGATCGCCTCCGCCTCCGCCACCACCTCCACCACCTGCGGATGCAGACGATACGTATGGCGCTGGCGATGGGAATTCCACAGAGGATATAGAAAACGGCTTGGATGAGGATGCGAAGATGGACATAAACAAGGTGTCTAGCGTCGCGATGCCGGATCGAAGTAGTGGGAATGAAGAAGTGGATAAGAAGGGCGTGAATGGTGTTTCTGAATACAAACCGTTTGGTGCCGGTTCGGTGTCTGACGATAGGAACCTCAAACCCGTTCTTGATGTTGACATAAGGCCTGGTTCTTCTTGACGTGTATAAGGCCTGTGGTTGTTATATCTGTTTCTGTCCACCTTGCCGTGGTCTGTTTGAACCAGGGGTGCATGATCAACCTCAGTGGTCATACTCCTATCACAGGTTTCCAACTCCGTGAGTCACGGCGTACATCAGACATCTTGGCTCAGCAGCGCTGGAATCTGGACACGGGGTCTCGCCTCGCATCTCCCCTGTCTTTTTTTCCTCTTCAACCGGCCGAGGAAATCCATCCTGCATCTCCCATCAAATACCATATCACTCTTGGCGTTCGTTCAGCCGGACATTCTCATGCAGCTGAACAATTAAGAAGGGCCAAAATTCGAACGGGGACTGCCCCTATTGACAAGGACTTGACAACAAACATATTAGAGAAAACGGATATGGCTACGATGAATGGAGAGCCAGCGAGCTACCTAGCGTTTGATCCAAGCATGCCAGAATGTACCTACTGACTAGGTCCCAAAACACCTTTCTTGTCCCCATCATCCAATTCATCCAGTCCCGCATGTAGATACGCACACACAATCATAGCTATTCAAGTACCTACATCCTCAACCCACGCTCATAGAACACCCAATCCGCAACAACCAATATCACATCACCTTCTACTGTCCTTCAGCCCGCATAACTTCCCATCCACTTACATGTGTACATACATACACCCTTCGTTACCTGAAAATACCATCCCCCTTTCTTACTTCCTTCCTCCCCCTCTCTCTTCCGCTTTCCTGCTGTACCAATATCGCATGCACACAGATGCACACAGGCACACACCACCGTCCTAATCCAAAAGAAAAGAAAAGAAAAGAAAAGGAAAAACATGCCCGCCTTCACAAGTATGTGAATGCAAACCAATAATACAGAGCAATTCAATTCAAGATCTAATCCAAATCCACAAGCCATTGATAACAGCAAAGTAGAACCCCTATCTCACCTTCCGTCCAAACCGTAAATTTCAGAGAATCAAATGCACACGTTGTGTTTCTTAGTCCTTCCTTCTACTTTTAGTATAGTTATGTAACTTATTGTGTATCTTTGAACCAGCGCTCCGCGAAGGAAATAATACCAAGAAACAATCACACTGTAAATTTTCCCACGCTGATATTACAAATCAATAAAAATATGTTTCCAAAAATCAAGATGTGTATATATATCGCTCGCCATGCGGAATGTATATGTCGCACATGCATTCCTTGCCGCAGAGAGGAAGCGGAAGCGGAAGAAGTGACAGCAACAGCAAGCAGCCTCAGAGCCGGTTGGTTGCTACGGACGACAGGAAGAAGGGAAATGAAATAGAAATAAATTCCTTTCCTTTCCTTTCCTTTCCTTTACAACTTTACAAGAACCCGCCTCCAGCCTGAAGCAGGCCATGCCTATGAATGTATACATTGCACACGAGACACATGAAAAGCGGAACCATAATAGAAAGAAAAAGTAAAGAAGAGAAAAAAAAAAAAAAAAAGACCCATTCCAAATCTATCAGTTCCTCGAGTTAACAAAGTCCTCTCAAAAACCCAGAGTTACAGGGGGAAAAAACAATGCGTGCGTGGACATAAAAACGGGGCGAAACCGCCACAAGCCTCCCTCCCTCCAGAAAAACGAAACAAAACTCAATAAAAACTCTCCACCAAACTCTCTTTATGCGTATTCCCAAACGCCCCCAGTGAACTCTTCCCGCCACCCCCGGGCGCCGCCCCTTCGCCCAACTTAAACACACTCTCCACAACGCTCAGCTCCGTCGCCGTCGTATCCAGGCCCATCACGGCCAGCCAGTCGTTGACGACCATCCCGGCACCAACGACGGGGGAGCCGCGGTTCACGCTGCCCGCAACGAGTGGCACTTGCAGCAGCGAAGAGAGCTCGTCTTGGTCTTGGATGGAGGTTTTTGGGTGGACGAGGCCGCCTTGGTTGGAGAGGGACATGTAGGAGCCTGTGAGGACGTTGTCGGCGATGGTTTGGCGGAAGACTTCGACGCCGAGGACGTCGGCGATGCTGCGGGGGTTTTAGTTTTTGGGTATGGAAATGAAAGGGGGAAGAAGGAGGGGGGGGGGTGGAGGGGGAGTGGAGGGCCTTACATTTCTTCAGTTTCCCGCTCTAGATCGGGATGGACGAGGGCTACGTGGTCATTGCAACATATCACGTTCCCGAGGGCTGTTAATCGCTCTTCTATCCGTTGGATTTTGACAGCGTCTGGGAGGGAGTTGCGCAGGTGTTGGAGTTCTTGATCTGTGGTCGACGTGGGGACGAGAAGGCCTTTGCGGTTACTATAGAGAAAATAAAGAGAAAATATCATGGTCAGCTGCGAATTGTGGTTTGGTTGTAACTGTTCATAAAGGGGGGAGAAGAGGATCATGCTGAGCAAATTCAAATTGTGGCTTACCCAGCTGTTAACCGTCCAACAATCCTCGTACCGGCGATGGTAGCATGACATATCGGGATGACATCTTGCAACTCTGCTTCGAAAATGCTATTTCGTGAAGAAAAGCAGGTTAGTTAACTTTGAGCGCCTTTTTTTCCCGATTCTCCATGACACAAGTTTGCAAAAATTTCAAAATGTCCGCCATTCTTCTCGAATCGAATCGGGTCAGCCTGTATATGAATGTTCTCCGTCCAGGAACGCAAAAAACGATGAGCCGCCCAGTTATATATCAACCCGGCACTTCCTTCCCACCAACTCATAGTCAGATTCCACGCTCATGGTAGAATAATGCCGGTTCTTCGAATATAAGGCTCCAAAGGGGACACCTATCAGATATTCCCGATCCGAATTTCAATCTGCGATCCAATCCCCTCTCATTACCCACAAGAGAGTGAACCAAATGGGGTTCATGAAGCCTTTCCCCCACCTTAATTTCCCAATATGACCATCCCATCAAAGAACACAAGGCCATTTTTGGAAAAATCGAGAAGACAGAAAAAAAAGAAAGAAATCCATACCTGTAAAAGTTCTCTGACGAGCCGATCGCCACCAATGCGTATGAATTCGTCAATGTCGCGAACACACCGACCCTGGGCAGTGAGACATGTTAGCCCAGGAAAATAAGTGGTAACAATAACCTTTGCGAGAAGAAATGAAAATTTTCCATCTTTCGAAGAAACTGAAAAAGAAAAGGAAGAAAGTAAAAAAGGGAAAAAAGAGAAAAGGGTATCTTCTTAACTGTAAAATTGAACGAGGCAAAAGAAAGAACTGGAAAAAGAAGCAGAAGAAGCAAGGAAGGGGGAAAACTCAACTCATTCGAGTTCTCAAATCGAGCGCGAACCGCCATGATTTATTTCAAACAGATCCTTAATTTCCTTTGGTTCTATTTATGATTTTTTCTTTTTCCTCTCTATGTATTCTATTTCCCGGAAAGCGTATAAATGTATTTTCTTCTTTCTCTGTCTTCTCTTTTGTTAATTTTCTGTTGTGCGGTAGAAGGATTCGATTCGGTGCGGCGGGGTGTGGGTGCGGGGAGGAGACGGATGGAGTATAGTATAACTAGGTAACGATGTATGTGGTATTTCTCGTTGTCGTTTGTTTTTGGTTGTGAATTCTTTTAAATAAAAAGAAAATTCTTTATGCTTTGGTTTTTTTTTTGCCGGGTAGTGTTTTGTGACGTGGAGTACAGAGTCGAGAGGAAGAAGAAGAGGGAGGGGTCGATGAGGGGCAAACTAGTTAACTAGGAATGAATTTCTCTGCCCGCTTTTTTTTCTTCTTGGTCTCGTCGTGGTTCTTAGATTCGACGAGGGGAGCAGAGGAGACTCGGCTTGGGGTTATTGCAGCTATAGGCACTGCGCCGTAGGTTGTTTATCGCTGGGGGCCCTCGATGCTCGCGGGATGAGGAGGAGAGGATGAGAGATGTTCATCAGATGCGGCGTTCGATTTGAAGAGTCTCCGAGAGGAGGAGGGACGGCGGGTTACGTCAGCAGAAATTTATAACCAATATTGGGTATGGGCCTGGTATGAGGATGGCGTATTGGAGTGTTTTCTACTTGGTATTGTTGTATTGTTTGATATCGCAGCTCTCTTGTCGTTCAGCGGGGTGCTGGCCCTCAGTATATATAACTTCATTCAATTAATATTAAAAATTCAGTCGTTAGGTAGTTGCATGTAGTACTGACTCATAAACGCCTCAGGGTGCAAAAAAATGATAGATTGATATATTTCACGACAGTATGACTCAAGATGACTCTTGTCCAACCCCCGCAATTCATATCATGGAACAACACACAGGTGCGAAGACAAAAATAAGAAGAAAAAATGTAGATGCCTATTTATTCGCCGATCGAATATTCAGCTAATTAGTCCCCAGGGGATTGAAATTGGTGCGAGAAAGCTGTTGTCGATTACTAGATCTTGTTTAGTTCCTGGTCTTATTACTAAAGCATGTGCCCCCCCCTGATACCAACAATCCGTCCTGAAGCCAGCCACGAGAGACCCAGTAATACAATGCCATGATTCCCGAAATCCCGATATGCGTTCCGCTGTGCGGAAAAAAAAGTTTATGGAAAAAGGAAAGACAAAGAAAATAAAATTCAAATTACAGAGGGAAAATCCGGGGTGCAAGGTACAAGTGCGCCTGAAGATACTCTAGATATAATTATATTGATCTGCGAAGGACCAACTTAAGAGTGGGCGAAATGGGGAAGAAGAAAATGCAGGGAGTGTTTGTTTAATTCGTTGATTTCATTTGCACCGTCCGAAAACGGCGCAGTAGCAGACTTCTTCGTCAGGGCAACTAAATTCATCGAGGGCAAAAATATATGGTGTTAGTTAGTAGGGCATGAAAATGGTTCGGAATGGAGGATGGAGATAGAGCTGCTTTTCAAATGTGGGGGTGGGGTGGGTGGGCATATTGAAAGAGAAAAGAAAAAAAAGGGGATGAAAAGAAAAGAAAAGAATCGAAAAACTTACAACACAGAATCCATCCCAAAAATAATATGCCACAAGAACTCCATGACACGCCCGCTGCTCGCATCATCCTTCTCGGTCGAAATCACCCAGTTGCGGAAGTGTATATAATCCTCCAACGGCCTCTTTAGAACCTGCTCGCGCGACATGGCAAACTGTGCGCAACACGCTGCTGCCACCTCTGCCGGTTTATCCATGGTTTTCAGCAGTGGATGGTTGGTGTCGTCGCCTGCAACAGCTGCTGCGCTTTCTTCTCCTTGTTCTTCTCCACTTCCACTTCCACCTCCACCTCCACCTCCTACAGTCGCCAATGAGATTTGGGCCGACGACGACGATGATGACGACTGATTCCGCGGCGGGGTGCTCGTCCCCGAGAATACTTCCGCCCACACCTCGTCTGTCACATGCCGATTGATCCTATGCGCTTTCTTGCAGCCGGGGTTCCAATTACAGCGCAGATTGACATAGCCGCTGTGCTGCACATAGTCGATCCGGAGCGTGCGCATGGCGATGACGTTATCGTGCAAGGGCGCATCGACGTGCCATGCCTGCAAGAAACCGGAGCGATGCGCGTGGAGGAAGGCGATGGTGCGAGGGAGGATGTGGTAGTTGTCTATGATGTAGGAGAGGTAGGCCATGGATTCGTGGCCTTTATTTGTGGGGACGGTGAGGGCGCTGGGGTCGTTAAGAGTTTTTTGGGAGGGGTTTACGATGTATACGGCTCTTTGCCAGCTGTGGTATCATGAAAAAATATTCGGGCTACGGGTTAGCTTGTGGTTTATTGAGCTGGTTGGTGATTTGGGAATCGGGGTGAGGAACATACTCTGGCAGCTCATCCCGTACCCAATCTGTGTCCTCTTCTTCCAGTTTTGCCATGACAATGATTTTATCACCCACCTCGACATCGTGGGCACGTACTGGGTCTTTCCGCAAATCAAGGGACCCGGAATCGAAGCGCGCATAAAAGTAGTCAATCAAATATGAACCTCCGCTGTACTGGTCCAGGAGATCTGCGAAATGCCGCACGAGAAACCACAAGGCGACGAGTACGAGACAGGATATGCCGACGGCAAAACGGAGGCTGCATTTCATCGTTGGAGATGAGAGGTAGGGGGCGAAACTGGCCCGGGATCAACTTGATAATTGACAGGGAGGGAAAGATTGCGCAGGGAAACGGATCCGTGCGGGGTTTGTGAGCGCCGGAGATGCACGCATTTGTCGTCCTGGGAGTATAGACAGTTTGGATATCTAATAGAGCGACTAAATGAAGGTTCTCGTAAATTGTGGGAGTGGACTGAAAGATCTGACAACTAGGAACAGGAAGAAACGTCGCGAAACAGTTTTGTCGTTTCTGGAATTGCGTAAGGCAAAGTTGCAGAACAAGGAACGGACTGCGGAAGAGAAAACTGGAGAGACACAAAATCCAAAAATGAGCGGAGAAGAAGGTTAAAGTAAGGCAGGGCGAGCCATGGGCCATGGATGGGCGTGGTGTGCGGTGCCTGGCACTGGTATATGTATGTATGTATGTATGTACGGAGTATGTATGTACATGTACATGTACTTGCCTCCACAGCAGGGTCGCACGGCAAAAAGCAGGTATTGTGACATAGCCGTTTGGGGATTCCAGATCGCATCTCCGTCACAAAACATCCATGCCACTTCGCCGGCATCTATACCGATGCAAGCGAGAGAGAAAAAAGAAAGGAAAGGAAAGGAAAAGAACCCTTTTCCTAGATCCAGCAGTTTGGTCAATCAAAACAGCGTCCTCCACGCCTCCAATGGCTGGCCATTCGAGCCTGTATCGACCTCGACCTTCGTTTCAATAATATCCCATTGACTTGGTGCATCTCTTTCTGTACGGCACACGCAGGTAAACTTAATACCTGCAATGCAGCCTGGCAGAGGACGATAACGCATTTCGCCCGGTTTCGCTTTGGTGCGCAGTGTCGAACTGTTAACTGTTAACTGTTAGTCCTTGGGCGGGGGCTCGAGGCCCGTGGGCTGGAACGGAGGGACACATGTTTCAATTTTCCACAGCCACGCAACGCCGCAGACAGCAGAAAGCACATCCATCATCTTGCGCAGTTGGAAATCTGCAGGCGGGATGCTGCTCCATCGTCATCGTGATCGCCTGTGGATTTCTTTTTTGAGGTCGTTGAAAGCCATGGTCCGCCTTAGCCTCCCGAGGGGCTGCACTAGCCTCGATCAGCGTCCATCCGCGACATGCCTGCTTCCGTGCTGGTTGCTTGTGGGGAGCAGGGCGCTTCTCAACCACTCATGAGCTCGTGTCCTTGACTGGTGCTAACTTCTAAGCTTGCTTGCCTGGGGTTAGTCGGGCCATCATCCAGCATTCCCGGGGGCTGTCTGAGCGGATGGAAAATAATAATGCACTACTCCGTACAGGACATACAGCTCCGTACCAATCAGCCGCCGCCGTGTCTCTCAAAGCACCACGCCCAATTGCTGATTTTTCGTTGTGAGACCATTTGCCTCTGTCTGACGTACGGGCACAGTAGCTGCTGCATTTCACGGGGAATCCAATTCCTTCATGTATCCGCCCAGTGAGCGCCTTTACCAATGATACATATATCTCATCCCGCGCCCCGCCGCCCCTGTTGATATTCGGATTATCTTTCGAGCAGATACTTTTTATGTGGAACGCCGGTGGAGTCAGTCCGTACGCAGTAGTTATATCCTTTATGTCGTGATCGTTATTATTATCCCCTTCGTGTTTCAGACTTCCGCGCTGGGTTAAAAAAAGAATAAGAACTAATTATTGTATGAGCGAAGACACAACATATCCTGTATCCCTAGCAGGCGCCATCACCGACAGCTGGGTAGGTCTAACAAGGACATTTTGAAAGCTTGGTTGTGCATACAAAAAAGAATACAGAACCCCTTCCCCATCTTCACTAACTTGATGGTTGGTGATATCTCCGGCTGCCTTGCGAAGAGGGTCCAACTAAGAAAAGGAGGAGTGAAGAATTGTACAAGTTTTCTGAAACAAGTTCACTAACTAACATATGCAATTACTATCATGTAACTATCATATTGCTTATTGCTTGCTTGCATGTGTTGTTGATCTTGATGTTGTTGGTCATTATGAAACGAACATTTGAAGATGTTGGGCCTTTTTTTTTTTTTTTTTTTTTTTTTTTTTTTTGACAGGCGTCGGATTGGGTTAACTTTGAAAACTGCTCAATATCAATGAGCCTACAGTAGGATATAACACACGTGAGATGGAGAGAGAGAGAGAAATGGAAGAAACACAGTGTGATGATGAAGAGATAACGGTTGAGGCAGTGGGAAGTCTATTTATTTACAACAACCAGCTCCAAGAGTCCTTAATCTGGATGACTTGAAACAAAACACTAACGTAACTACTAACTAACAACTTCTTTATGAAACAACACAGCCAAGTAGTTAATTTGGTAATAGTTAACTTCAACTGACTGATCTTAGTTATACATAAGTTCTCTTAATTATAGGTGGTAGTTATAGATTTTCTTCAAGTTGAGGACAACATGTCTGAAACACGAATATCTGCATTGAAATATGACAGGATCATCCATATACATACAATATAACTACTTGTTTAGCGGCATTAGTTAAAATCTTAGGGGAGGTGAGATCAAGATTCAGCCTTGTGACAATAGGTTTGTTTCATCAACTGAGGCATGTGCTTGAAACGGACGTTTATTTATTTATTTATTTATTTATTTATTTATTTATGTATTTATTTATATTTTGGGGATAAATTAACGCTCTGTTCAAATCCATTTCATCGATGGCGAGAAACGGTCTGGCAAGCAAAGCATCCCGAGCAGCAAGGAGAGTGGAAGATGGAAGAGTGACAGCTAACTAACTTTCCATGATAAATAATAAGATTGTTCGAATTCCAAAGAGAAATCAAGCTAAGAGACACGGGACGCGTTTGTTTATTCTTCTCGTCTTGTAAGGAATAACTATTGAGTTAAACGCGCTGGGGTGGAACGCAAGGGGGGGCAAGTTTGGGTTTTCTGTTTTCTCCGTGGCGGAGATTAGCTATAGCCCCTTCTTGTGCCTGTAATTTCTTCTCTTCTTCTTGGACAGTCAGTCCGCTTGATGGGGGATTGAACATTGGGGGTGTAGTTTATGCTCATGGGGTTGGTTATATATCACTGACACGAACACCGTGCATTAACTAGCCGCCGGTGGTGATGGAGTGTTGATTAGTCTTTGTGTATATGATTCTTAATCCGAGAGCAACATTCAAGAGTGGTGAGTACCAGATGAGACAGTGACTTGTATTCCACGCCCCCGGCGCGCGTCTCCCCTGGCTAGTATTTTGGCGATATCGTATTTATCATGTCATGTCGTCATCAACCTTTTTGCCCAATCTAGGCCCTTGGAAGCGGGCTGCTCAAAAATATACATTGAGTTAACTAGATTGAATAGTTAGCACTTCCACTCCACTTTCATCATTCTTCACGGATATGCTCGCATGGATATACTACCACTACTCTACTGCTACTACTCCGTACTATGTACGGGATGCTTGCTTGTTGGTTCTTTTTAGCTACGGATAGCTAGGTATCTAGATTCTCCTACACAACCTTGCCCGGATTAAGAGGACTGACTGACTGACTGACGGCGTTCCTGGATGTCAATTCCTTGTTTTCTTCCCCACCGTCCAAACCCGGTTTTACGGTCCTCCTAGCTAACAAAATAAAAAACGGAAGGTTGAATCGAAGAACGGCGCAGCTTGAGCGGATTCGGATGACGCGCATGTAATCTTTGGGAAGAATACTGAGAACGGCCGCGGGATGATGTTGTGTCTGTCTCAACTGGCTTTTCTCCCCCACTTGCTCCTCTAATAACTTAGTTATTGCAAAGGCCAAAGAGCCTTGTCTCCGGCCGTGTAGCCATGTCCTGCAGCGCTTCGGGAAACATGCGGTGGGTTGGCTGCCATTTAAACCCTCTATTGTCCCGCATGGACACGGCAGCAAACCTAACAATCATTTCCTATCTTGTTTCAGGACGGCTTTATTTTTATTTTTTATTTTTCTTCTTCTGTTTCTTTTTCTTTTTCTGTGTGTTTGGGTGGTTTTATCTCCCTGCCCTACATATCTCGCGTTATGTTGTTGTTGTGCTCCTCCTGATCGCGTCCTCCTGTTGGTAGAAGGTTTGACCATCTATCTTTTAGTTAACTCTCAGCACATTTGAGTTTTTTTTTTTCTACGCTTTTAAAGGAAATTGGTTTGTCCAATTGTTTACCTTGTACTTTTATTTGCCCCCCCCCCTCCTCCCCCTGCCTGGTCCACGTTCAAAAGAGTAAGACTTTGTCCTTGGACCAATCTGTGCACCGGGCGTGACGGACTCTGAGCCCCCCATATCCTAGCTCGCCGAACAATACCCGTTGAGCGGAGTATAGCGGGAATTTGTCTACAATTCTATTGAATACACTCGGGTGCTCTAGAACTTGCTGTCAACCACTGTTCCTATCTTCTGAGAGTTCACCTATCTATCTATCTACAAAGCTTTTTATATTATTACTCAATTGGCGTGTGAGCGGCCGGCGGGTACGCGCGGGCGAAGATGCAGAGGCCTCTTCTCCTCTACTTCCTGGGTTCGTCGGCAATCCTATGCACCACGACATCAGCCATTGTCAATGGGGTGTTTGCTGCATCGCTCGAACACGCAGTCTATGACAAGGCATTCCTTGCATATGTGGCAGTGGTGCTCACGGCCATAAGCTCGATTGTCCTGGGCCTGCTACTCGTCTCATTTACGACGAATGCAACAAGGGGCGGGCAGTTTTGGAGATCGTGCCATGGATTGGCTTTCATCCTACTGGGCGCAATCCTTTGCGCTGCACTCATATTCGTCGCAATTACACTGCGAGCCTGCGATTCCGCCCTATTCAAGAACTCGAGGGCTATTCGAATCCCCCACCGTACCCGCGCACTCTACACCGCGTGGTGCGGGGTATGGGCTGTAGCCATTGCTCTACAGATATTATTCTACGTCGGCTTAGCATTGCCTCCAGAGCATAGGCCGACCTTGAGAATCGACGCGATATCCAAATTAGCCTCAAGCGCAGCCAGGTTTCTACGATTCAAGGGGCATCTTATAAGGCTGATAGGGAGGAGACCCTCAATCTCCGCCCAATCTACCACATCACCAGAGCACAAACACCCTCCCAGTGCCCCAGCGAATTCGCACTGCGACTCAGAACAGAAACACAGCGATTCGTTGCTATATCCGGGCAACCCCATCCTAAATCTGCACATTCTGCAACATCTCCAACAACATAACCGCGGCCACAGCCAAAGCCGCCAACAAGTTAAATATCCAACACCTGGCAATGCAGCCTCCTCCTTTAACAGCAGCAGCAGCCCACTGGAGCAAGAACATACATTCGACCAATGGGACACCTCCAGCGTCCCGCGCGAGATCTGTGACGCCCTCTTTCAGTCAAGTCTGCAAAAGACTTCCCCCATGAACCGCTACAGTAGCCCAGAATACAACAATAAACTCAGCAACAACGATCGTTACAAACCAACCTCCCGACCCAACAGCCGCGCATCCTCCTTCACAAACACCACCGCAGCAACGACAATAACCGACCCCTCAATAACCTACCACCCACTCCGGCAATCAGCCGGCCCGCCCCTGCGGGACACCCGCGAAGATTCCATCCTCCCAGACTCCCCAACCATAACCTCCCTCTCCTCCTCCCTGCCCAGCTCCCCCATCTCCCCCATCTCCCCCAGCACCCGCCCCAGCTCCAGTTGACGCAGACCCTTTACTCGACTTCCTCTTCTCATCATCCACCCAATTCAACCTATTCCGCTCAGAAGCACAAACCCCGGAATCGACAGCGGCGATGCCACCGTAATAATCCCTACGATTCCTCCCTCTTGCTCTAGGCGCGGCTCTTAAAGTCCCACATTACCGAATGCACGGTATCTACGTCAGGCGGTTTATCTGGGAGCACAATGATCAGCACCTGAGCCAGATGGCAGCGTTTCACAAAGAGTAAAAATATAACAGAGTAAGTAAGGGAGATGAGAGCATGGGTGCCGTCTTCGCAAAGATCAGAAAGGGGTAGACACCGCGAGACGAAGAGCATAGGCACTCGCTACGCGAGCGTCGGCGTAGACGGGAAACACGTAAACCAATGGACAGGTGTGAGAGACGATAGTTGGATGGCCAGCAGGAGCGCAGGACGTGCGCTAGGTTCTATGTGCTGATCATAGAGAGTAGCTGCGATAGCATTGATGAATCAGCGACGTATGAAACGTAATGGAGGAGCAACAGTTAACAGTCGGTTGAGATGTAAGTGATTGTTATAACGGTAGGCGAAACTGGCAGGGTGATGAGAGTGAAGAGGAGCAACCAGAGGCCCGAGCCCCTAGACCTCATGTGCACATTCAAAGCAATTTGGCTATCGGGAGATCTAGGGTAAGTGTGA